TGATGGACTTAGGGCCCTCTCATTTCCATGGCAAGCAATGACGAAAAGCCCTTCCGGTGCCAACGTCGACATCTGGCGTCGCATCGCACAAGATCTGATTGTTCGTGGCAGGGATCCAGCCGGGATTGCTGCAGTGAAGGTAGCCTCTCACTTAAAGGCTGAGCAGATCATCTCAGACACTGTCCCACGGCGAATGGTCGAAGGTAACCAGTGTTGACGCTGTTGCGGGACGGTAAGCCGCCTTCCAGCTGGCCGAAAAAGAAGCAGTGGTTGTGGTCATTTCCCTGGTGCCAAGCTCAACGAAAATGACCACAACCCCTGCTCTGTTTCTGCGGGCTGTTGCCGGCCCTGGCCGCCCCCCTCCCCCCTCAAAGAGGTGGCGTCACGGTCCGTGCTGACCTCCGACTTGGCTTTGGCTCTTCCCGGCCATTCCCAGCCGGCGTCGCCCGCGCGAAACGTGACGTTGCCGGCGCCCTCCCATCCCCCCTCTCCCCCCTGGTGACGCCCTATTGCCGCCCAGGGGGTACAATTGGCTGGAGCCGCAACCGAGGCAGCCAGGAGTCCCAGCTGAGCAGGGGCACAGAGCTGCGCTCGCGGAAGCTGGCGCTGGCAAGGCCGGGCACCGCATGCCTCGAGCCGGCCTGGGGGCGGGGGGGCCCGAGCGTGCTGGGAGGAGGAGGAGAGAGCGCCTGCTGCTGCTGCTGTCTATGCTGCTGCTGTCTCTGCTGCTGCTGCTGCTGCTGCTGCTGCTGCTGCTGCTGCTGCTGCTGCTTGTCATTTTCATGAGCGAGGGAACCAACAATAGCATACACATTACAAGTTCGGCGGTCCGCGCGGATTCCTCGGATCGGCGCTGGGGCCCCCAAGCGGCGCCTCCGGCACCGCCCCTGACACGCTCCGCGCGCCAGGAAGGGGGGTCCAGCGCCGATCCGAGAAATTCGCAGGGACCTCCGAATTTGCATGTTTGTGTAATTGCTTGTTTTCCGAAGAACACAAGCACATGATGCCCGTCCACGGGCAAGAGAAGTTCGACTGAGCATCAGGTCCGCTTCCCCTCCTGGGTGCCATATCCGCACCCATCGGATGCAAGCTTGAGCTCGATAACGGTAGGGCTCTACCGTGTAAAGTGGCTGGCTGGGTCGACGTCACCACTATCAGGCTGGAAGGGGAGGAGGACGAGCCAGAGGACCCTCCCCCCCCCTATGCTCTGTCAACGGCCCTGTTGGGTGGCACGGCAAGGAATCCAGGGTCTGGAGGCTGGTGGAACAGCAAGTGAGGCTTTGCCATGGATATCACCGCCACCCTCATCAGATGAGGAGTCCTCCAGGGCCTGGAGCCTCCTGGGCACGTTCCTTAACTAACGCCCCCACCGTGGTAGCCATATGGGGGACCCCTGCGGCAAACGATACGCAACCTGCAAGGGTTCAGCCTCCGACATCACTCGCCTCGAGTGGATCGGGAGCCCATATCTTAAACCGGAGGTTCATTCTAGCCAGGTCCATAGGTTGCCTTCTGGTCGCCATTTGCGTACATCTCGCTGGAGGTTGGGCCCACCCGTCCCATCCAATGGCTAAAGCTGTGGTTTTTCCCCACATGCTTCGTGGGGTTCTGGTTTTCTTCCCTGCCGCGCCGCGCCCGCGTCTCCCCCACACCCGCCCTCCTCCCCTCCTCCTCCTCCTCCTCCTCCTCCTCCTCCTCCTCCTCCTCAGCACAGCGCAGCACAGCACAGCAGACCGCAGCACAGCATAGGACAGCACAGCACAGCTCAGCAGAGCACAGCACAGCACGTCTCGGCGACACGCGTCTACATACAGCCGCACGCATGCACACACTCGCACACACAAGACGACACCAGTCCTGGCATAGCAGGCGTGGCACTTTCTCGACACCATAGGGGGTGCGCAGGGGGTGGTCTCTCGCTGCGGTCTCTATACGCCCCAGTCGTCCTGCTATAGCAGGCGTGGCCCCAGTCGTCCTGGCATAGCAGGCGTGGCACTTTCTCGACACCATAGGGGTGCGCAGGGGGTGGTTTCTCGCTGCGGTCTCTATACGCGCCGGTCGTCCAGGCATAGCAGGCGTGGCACTTTCTCGACACCATAGGGGGTGCGCAGGGGGTGGTCTCTCGCTGCGGTCTCTATACGCGCCGGTCGTCCAGGCATAGCAGGCGTGGCACTTTCTCGACACCATACGGGGTGCGCAGGGGGTGGTCTCTCGCTGCGGTCTCTATACGCGCCGGTCGTCCAGGCGTAGCAGGCGTGGCACTTTCTCGACACCATAGGGGGTGCGCAGGGGGTGGTCTCTCGCTGCGGTCTCTATACGCGCCGGTCGTCCAGGCATAGCAGGCGTGGCACTTTCTCGACACCATAGGGGGTGCGCAGGGGGTGGTCTCTCGCTGCGGTCTCTATACGCGCCGGTCGTCCAGGCATAGCAGGCGTGGCACTTTCTCGACACCATAGGGGGTGCGCAGGGGGTGGTCTCTCGCTGCGGTCTCTATACGCGC